AGCTTTTTGAATAAAAGGACAGTATTGCATGCACCTTTGAGTGCCCAGAACCTTGCACAATGTAAACAAACATTCACTAAAAGGTTGCTGAATAAATGAAAGAATAGGTAGATAGATATCAAGGCATATACACAAACCTGAGGCCCGATGCACAGGTTTGTGTACCAGTAGGGTCCCTCAGCCTGGCCTTCGTCCTCTCACAATACAGAACCCCTTGGGGGATGTCAAACTGCTGGTCTGAGCCCGATCCCCACAGATCAGGAGGAAACTAGCAGTCCAACATCCCCCAAGGGATGTAGTAGTGTGCAAAGTGGCAGGCGGCTGGGGAGTAGCCCAAGCCAGGGTCTGGCGCTGCGCCCTCTTATCCCAGCCCCATGGTGCCTGTCTCTGCCTCTGCCCCTGCTTGATAGCGCTGCCATGGAGGCAGGAGACTTGCTCCAGCATAACTGCACTTGCCAGTTGTGAGCCCAGCATCTGGCGCCCAGTGGTCAGCTGAGGTGCACTGACCACCAGGGGATAGCTCCTGTATTGAGCCTCTGCGCCCTGGTGGTCAGTGCTTGTCATAGCAACCGGTCAAGCAGTCAACCGGTTGCATAGGGTTTTATATATATAGACTAAAGGCCCGATGCACGAAAATTGGTGCAAAAGTAGGCCTGCCTGCCTTCCTCTGGCTGCCGGCACCAGCTTCCCTCCAGCACCTGGACCCAGGCTTCCCTCCTCCCGCTGCCACAGGCACCTGGGACCCGGGGTGGCTTCCCCTGGGCCACTCTAAGATACCCGGGACTAAGGGTATCTTTAGTCCCGGGTATCTTTGAATGGACCCGGGGTGGCTTCTCCTGGGCTCCAGTTTCATCAGGAAGGATGACCAGAATGACATCCAGTCTAATTAGCATATTACCCCTTTTATTATTATAGATTGTCTAGCAAGGTATCTGCTAAACAGGGACTGCTCAATGAATTATCATTATTATTGTCTATTTTTCTGCAAATATGGTTATTAAACTCACTTGAGTCCTTCTATTGTCAACAGGTATTTTTAAAGCTAAATTTCCCAAAAATCTGGCAAAGGGACCCCTGGAAATGCTTGGTTTGGTTTTTAAATTCCTTGACTTTTGAGGAGCAATTTTATATCACCCCCATAATTCTTATAGGACATTTGTATTGGCAGGCAAGCAACTATTTATTGAGATATTTGTTCAACCTTAAGAAGTGAAAGAAATCAGATAAGCAATTAAACTTAGATCTAATGGCAGTTGATATCGAAGGGGAGGGGAATTAGGTATACCAAAAGTTCAACCTAATGATTAGCTACTGTTAATAATGCTTTAAAATAAAAATGCAGCCGGCACCGGTTTGGCTCAGTGGATAGAGCGTCAGCCTGTGGACTGAAAGGTCCCGGGTTCAATTCCGGTCATGGGCATGTGCCTTGGTTGCGGGCACATCCTCAGTGGGGGGTATGCAGGAGGCAGCTGGTCAATGATACTCTCTCATCGATGTTTCTAACTCTCTATCCCTCTCTCTTCCTCTCTGTGAAAAATCAATAAAATATATTTTAAAAAAAATAAAAATAAAATAAAATAAAATAAAAATGCAATCCACTATTTCATTGCTTCCTACCATTCCTAACTTACACTTACTTTCTAAGCTGCCCTAAATTAGCATAATCAAGGTGTCTGGACTTTTCTATGGCATTAGTGTGATCCAGGTAACACTTTTCTCCAGATATAGTTTTAATGTCAACTATTCTTCAAAAAGTTCTAAATGTGATCAATGAATTTTATCTACTTGAGATATTTAAAAATCTCATACAAACTGAAATAGGCAATTCGGTATAGTGGAAGAGCTACATTTAGAATCTGTGAAAATTAGTTTTCAATCCTGGCTTAACTGTGAATAGCAAAATCTAACCTCTAAGTGATCCCACTTTCTCAGATCTAAAATGAGAATTCCACCACCTTGTCCAAATCTAATTCTATCAAAATGCTTTATAAAATATACCAGGAGTGAAAACTTCACACATATAAAAATGAAATCTGTAACTGAAAACATTTCTGGTAATCAAATCCATTGTCAAATTCATGAAAATGCTTTCAGTTGGAATAAAGTTATAATAATTTAAGTCTAAATTTGTCATATTTGTATTTATTCAAAGCTGACAACTGTAAAAAGGAAAGAAACATGCCTGAGTATTTCAACAGTTGGTATGAGACTGCTAAGCAAAAGGTTTTGTTATTTTTTTTTTAACTTTTAACATACAGAATACATACCCTATTTCTCTGCAATCCAAACAACTTTATTTGGCTGGCATTGTTTAATATTAATCCCTTCAGATCATTCAAGGAATCACCAAAAATAGTAATTCCAACTTAGAAGAATAAACTCTTAAAACAGAATGTGGATATTTCTATTTCAAAGGTAAGGATAGCCTATTTCACTCAGTGGATAGAGTGTGGGCCTGTGGACTAAAGGGTCCCAGGTTGGATTCTGGTCAAGGGCACATGCCTGAGTTGCAGGCACATCCCTAGAGGGCATGCTTGGGGGGGAAAGGGGGAAGCCAATTAATGATTCTCTGTCATCGTTGATGTTTTCATCTCTCTCTCCCTCTCCCTTCCTCTCTGAAATCAATAAAAAAAAAATTTTTTTTAAAGGTAAGGATAATTATATTCTGGAAATAATTATCAATCCTTTAAAATTCTGTAATATGCAAAAATATTTTGTGAACAGTAGTTATTAATGTCAAATGTATTTCCAAATGCTTAGATAAAAACAATGCAGCATAATAATAGGTTAAGTAAAATTAACTGTTTATTTTGGGACTTGAAAGTTTTACTTACCCACTACCTATTACACTTCCCCTTTTCTCCCTTCCCTTATTACTGGGACAGAGTTGCCTAGTACTTTTGTGTGATCCACTCAGAAGGCACATAGAAAAACAACAGGGAAAAAAAAAACACCCAACACATTAAAATAACAAGACAAGAAGAAGAGGCAGAAGGGGGAAAAAAGAGACTGTGTTTGCATCAAGGGGGAAAGGAGAGACAAAGGGGAGATAGAAGAAAGGGACAAGAGCAAAAGGGTGACAAACAACAAAATCTGTTCTTCCGGAATTAATGGTTTATGATTATAAAAGAGTGAAGTTTCCAGAAAGTGAATCTTAGTATTACACAACAGAAAGTAATACAGAGGCCAACAAGAAAAATAATTGATACAGCAGTGTCATAAATATTCCAATCGCCAACCAATTTCACAGAAGCATGTACTTTTCTCTTACCTAAATAATCAATTTTATGTAAAAAGAGTTAGTAAAACTAATCAAACCATATTACAGTGCTAAATAAAATGTAATCATGAATCTTAGATATCATGGAAATTCAGAGCTGGAAATTTCCCAACCATCAGCTCAACTCCCTCCTCAGGCAGAGAAAGAAACTGATGCCCTGTTTTGTAACATGCCTAAATCACAAATGATTGCAGAACTCAGGAAAGCTAGAACTCTTTGTTCAGTAATCTTTCATATCTTCTGCTTCTGGTTTTTGTAAGTTAATTATTAACCATCAATAATACATTTAAAAAGTTTGTCAAGTCTAACAAAAAGCTTTCTAGAAGCCAGATCAGAAGTAAACACCTCATAACATAGCACTGTCCACACAAATTAAAACACAAAATTAAACAATAGCCTTGACAGGGTATTAACAAAATGTCCAAATTTAAGAAAAAACAAAAATCCAATATTCTGAAAATTTCAGCCATTTAAATTAAGAAGCATATGGGAAGCTTTTCTTTGGATCTTTGAATAAAAAGAATACTCAACAAGGCCTCTATTTTTGTACGTGGTTGAATGCAGCCAAATCATTTGGTAGATTTGTCTCCATTCTCCTTTCTGATTAAATAGTAACTTATTTGTCAAGGTTCTTCTTAAATTTCAGTTCTGTGTACTTTATTTAGCCACAATTGTTTATTCCTCTCTATCCATGTCACTAGGACCTGATTAAAACCCTCCCTTTGTAGCCAATCAAAATAAGACTGCTTTGAATGTAAAAGCTCCAGATTCGGGTTTGGGGGCCTAAAAAACTGGATTTGTTTCCAGGCAAATACATCGGATTGTTCCTCATCGCCACCCCATCCCATCCCACCACACACACACACACACACACACACACACACACACGTAAATTTGATGCATGCTATTAATTTGTGCTACATTTTTAAAATTCCCATCGCAACTTATGTTATATAAAAGTGAAGCTTTTGCATGAAGCTTTGTTTTAATATAGCAGACACAGATGAGGGAAGAGGAAGAGAAGCACAAGCCTAAGGCTTTAAAAAAACACACACACCAAAAAAAACTGCAGGTGTAAAACCCAAGCCAATTTTTTTCAAAATACTGGATAACATTTTTAAAAATCCTTGTTTTCAACCAGACTTCACCTAATGACAACACGTCCATATCCGGCCTTTCCAATCAGGAGTGGCAGATTTCTGCTCCCGGAAGAAAACGCCGACTCCTGAGGTTTCACCTCTCTTACCCTCTCCCCAGTTGCCTTTAGGAGGGACGACACATCGATGGCAAACTTGGGCCCCTTTTCCGCTTGTGCCCCCTAATCTCTGGCCTAATTTTCCACAAAATCCTCCACCGATTACTCCTCCCCCCTATACATCCCTGCTGCACTCGCTTAGAAGTGACGCCTGGGCACCGTGCCTCTCCCCCGGTGTAAGCGGAGAACGCCTGACCCACGCCACCTGGAGAACAATGTAACCCAACTCCGGGCCCGTGGATTCCTCCATCCAAGCCCCAAGATTTATCTGCTCGGGGAATCAGGAAGCCAGTTGTGTCCTGTCATGCTGGCTTCCTTCAAGGCGTCCCACTCCGAGCCGAGGATTGCGGCTCCCAGAGGCCGGGGAGCAGGCAGCTCACCTCCCCGGCCCCCGGCCCCCGGGAGGGAGGGGGCGGCGGCGGGACCCTCACTCGGGTCAGCCCCCGCCGCAGGGCGCACCCCTACCTTTGTAGTGCACCCGCAGGTTGTTCTGCGACAGGCCGATGTAGCTGAACTTGTCCTTGGGGCTCCAGGACCGCGGCAGCGGGCTCTCCTGCTCGTCCACGGCCGGGTAGAGGCGCTTGAGCCGCCGCTGCAGCTCCTTCTCCTGCTCGTTCAGGGCCGAGTCCCCGTGCGGGAAGGGCGCCGCGGCGCTGCTGCCCGCCAGGCCCGGGCCCGGGGCTGGGGCGCCCCCGGCCGGGCCCGGGCCCGCGGCGAGCCCTGGCGGCGCGCTGGAGGCCGAGGCCGAGGCGGGCGGCGGGGGCGGCGGGGGTGGCGGGGCCGCGGTGGCCGGGGGCGGCGGTGGTGGCGGCGGCGGGTGCAGGAGCAGGGCGGCCGCTGCGGCCCCCAAGCCGCCGCCGCCGCCGCCCCCCGCGCCGCCACCGGGGGAGCCGGCGGGCGAGGAGCCGGCGCTGACGGCCGAGGGCGCGGGCAGGACGACTCCGGAGACCGGGGCCACGGCCGCTGGCGGGGGCGGCGGCAGCTGCTGCTGTTGCTGTTGCTGCTGCGGCGGCGGCGGCGGCTGCCCGGACATCCCGGCCGCGACTCAGCCCGCGGCCGCCTCCACCTCTTCTCTCCTTCCTCCTCCGCTTGCCGGGGGCGCTGTGGCTGCGGGGCCGGCACCAGGCGCCTGTCCGCCCGCCCCGGAAGCAGGCGGCGGGCCGCGCGCCCGGGAGAGCGCGACGGTTGGGGGTCGGAGCCGGGTGGGCGGCGGGCCCGGGAGACGAGAACGTTGGCGGAGCGCGGGCGGCCGGGGCGAGGGCGAGGCGGAGGTGGAGGAGGAGGCGAAGGGGAAGGCGAAGGCCAGACGGAGCGCGGGCGGAGGGCGCGGAGGCACCGCTGCGGCCGCTGCTCTCGCGGCTGTTTCCCGGCGGGCGGGCCGGGCCGGCGCGAGACGCTGCGCGCGGGCGGCGCCGGGCGAGGGGGCGGCACCAGCGCGAGCTGCGCGGGGGGCGGGGAAGCGCCGGCGGCGGCGGGGCCCGGGCGGCGGGAGGGGGCGCGGCCCGGACGGCGGAGCCCGCTCCCCGGCCCCGCAGGCCGCTCGCGGACGGGGCGCGGGGTCCCCAAGGAGGTCCCCGCCCCCCTCCGCCGAGCTCGCCGCCTCTCCCTCCCCCTGCTCCCCGCAGGATGTATCTCCTCCTACTTTACTTCTTTTTGTTGTCGTCGCCCCACCGCCCCGCCGTGGGGTTCCCGCTGGAGCGGCGAGGCCGCGGCGCGCCCAGGCGAAAGTAATCGAGCCCCGCTGGGGCCTCCGGGGCGCGCGGGCTCGGGGACCCCAAATCAGGTCCCAGACATGAGCGGTCAGGAGAGTGCCCACGGGCTCCCCAGGACAGGTCCCCGTGGGCCTCCCCGTGTACGAACCCACTTCACAGTGTTTAATGCCTAAAGGTTAAAACTGGGGGAATGGAAACCTTTTCTGAAGGCAGTCTCCCTCTTACAATAGTGAGCAGTGTATTAATTAATTTTATGAGGCCCTAACGTGAAGGGATATGGTGGAAGGTGTAACAGGTATACTACAAAAGTCGGGCAGGGCTTCAAAGAGTTAGAAGACAAGGTTATAGTGTGTATGTGAGGAAGGGCTTCTAGGGACATCAAGACATTTTATAGACTCATTAATTTTCATAACAGGCCTCTTTAGGTAGCAAAGAATTATGCTCATTTAAAATGTGTGTGTGTGTGTGTGTGTGTGTGTGTGTGTGTGTGTGTGTGTGTTATTGATTTCAGAGAGGAAGAGAGCGAAACATCAATGATGAGAGAGAATCCTTGATCCACTGCCCTCCACTGGGGATGGAGCCCACAGCTCCAGCTTGTGCCCCAACCTACCAGGAATTCAACTGCGACCTCCTGGTAGGTATGTAGCTGCTCAAACCATTGAGCCATATCAGCCCGGCTATGCTCATTTTTAAAACAAGGAAATATTCACTGAGGTCAGCAGAGTTAAAAACAGGACTTCCTATTTTGCAGTTCCCAGTTGGGTGCTTTGCATGGTCCCCTAAGTGTTGCTCTCTGACCCATCCTATTATTACTATTTTGTTTTCACCACTTCCCTTTATGTTATCCTCTCCTTAGTGGACAAAATTGGACTTTACATGTATAAACTACGTAACATAAATTCTGGTATTTTTGTTTGCTTCCAAAGATATTATGGTAGTTGATCAAATAAGCAAGTAACAGTTTGCTGGTTAGAGAATTCTTTATTTTGTCTTGATGGGGATAGGTAAATGGTGATTTAACTGAAGGCCCTCAATGTCTGGCCAGAACCAATAGCCACTTAGTCTAATTTCTCTCTCAATTACTCAGACAACTAGATCCCCAGTTCTTTAGTAAAAATATTTGATCTATTGTTTGATGACTTTTTCAAGTCATTGCACTTTAAATGTTGCCATTGTATTAACTTGTTCTAAAACTTTCATTTATATTACAGTGACAATGAGTCCAATGTAAGTCAAATATAAGCCAAGTTTAAAGTTGACTAGCCCAGGTAAAATAAATGGGCTCCAACCCTCATTCATACATTCTCAAAGTTCTCATCAAGGTTTTATTTGTGGAGGTGTACTTTTTTTCCTGTCAGCACACTTGGAAACTCTGTAGAACTTTACATATCCTGGGAATGGTTGAGAAAATAAAAGTATCTGACATTTTGTTGGAAGCTTTTTATAGGAGTGACTGGTTTTCTCCAAACAAGCAATCTCAAGGAATCAATGATTTCAGTTTCGGGGAGGATGCTGTGAAATAGGCACTTATACTGAAGGTGGCAGAGAACATTGAGAATGTCATTTTAGAAAACTACCTATTTTGTAATATTTATAAGGAGACATGAAGGTGATCATGCCTATTGACTTTTTTCTACCAAAAACTCAAAACTAAATAACAACATCTAAAATGTGGAAGACATTTAGGCCTAAACATGTTCAACAGGAAGTATTGATGGATGAAATACGAAAGCAGACGAAATGCTCAGCATGAAGGGACTAGTTGAAGAAAGCATCGTATACCCCCTCAATGGAATTAGGACTGCAGGAGCACACACTAGTATATAGTACTTTTTTTTTTTTAATGCCTCCACTCTGGGCAGGGAAATTACCAAAAGAATGAGGCCAAAAATTAGAAAAAGACATTTCTTCCTCTTGACTTAGTCAGTGGAGACTGGGCTCAATTGCAGATCCACTCCTGCCAGGCCTCTTGCACAGGCACAGGCTGAAATAAGTATTAGATGGCCTCTTTAAAAACGGTTTTTAAGACATGAAAAAGTGATGTGGATGTGCTACATGGAACAAGGCTACACCATAATTATACTTTGCCAAAACTGTTACTAAAAAGACATGAAGGAAAATCCCAAACTTTTATAATGGAGCAATTGTAATACATAATTAAAAGTAACTTTCTTATTGCAAAATATTAAACTTGTACATAGAGATAAAAATAATAAAAATGCATTATCCATGAACTTCTCTTTGTACCTGTGTGTTCATTTTTACCATGGATTGCTATAATGGTAATCAGTAGCTGAGGGTCTCAGTAGCCAACAGTAAGCAGCAGGAACTTATTGGAAAGATATGTATGGTTCTCAGAATTGAGCAGAAGGCTGGAAAACTGGCCCACATTCAGGGAAGAGGATGATACAAGGGTATAAATACTAGTAGGCAGGGATCTTGTGACCATTTTTAAAAGCTGTCTATCACTGAGTCGGTGCAACTTCTGATGAACCCAAAAAGACTCCATTGCCACACACAGATCAAATATAGCTCTAGACCAGGGACTGGCAAACTTTCTGTAATGGGTCAGTAGGAAATATTTTAGGCCATATGTTCACAACTATTCAACTTTGCCATTATAGATGAAAAGTAGCCATAGAGAATCTGTAAACCAAAAAATGAAGCTGTATTCCAATAAAACTTTATTACACAAACACACACACACACACACACACACCAAAAAAAAAGGCAGCAGGCTAGATTTGGCCCACAGGCTATCCTTTGTAATCCCTAGACTAGACCATTTTATCAATAGTCCTTATAAACTATTCTCAACACTAAATGACAAGACCAAGACACTGACAATGAAATTCTAGGAGTTAAGTTTATTACCAATAGTGCATGCTGTACCCTAGAGTCCCAGACAAACCTATGCCATATGTGAATGGAGTCAGGATATTTTTGCAGCCGTTGTGTGGTAAATTGAAATGCATGGCAAACAGCCGAACAATACTAAGCAATTACAGCAGGATAAAGTCCAAATTGTAAGTAGTGCTCTGTCAGCATTTATTAAGCACCTATTATGTATGGAATCCTGTTTTAAGTTCAGGGCATGAATTTTTTTTCATATTGATTTTTATGTTCCTTCTTTCTTATTTTCTTACAGCAATATGAAAAGTTGCATTCAAAATGGAGTAGCAACAGGGCACAGATGGCAGGAGATCACTTCCTCTGCACCATCTCCCTCAGTGTTGTAGGGCAGGCACGGGAAGGTTCTCAATGGAATCATGGAATGTGAAGGATGCCCCAGAATTTCTTGAGTTCCACACAATGCCACCTGCTGTCCTAGGAAATGGCCATGAGTTCAGCGCATTCTATAGCCTTCAGACAGTCAAAGTCCTGGTTGTTTTAGTTTATTCAGACCATTGAAACAAAACACCATAGATTGGGTGGTTTATAGACGACAAACAGTTATTACTCACAGACCTGGAGGCTGGGCAATGATACGTAGTTTCCCAAAGTGCCAGATATCATTGTGGGCTATATAACTTGCCTACTCACTGGGGGTTAACCCCTATTCCTGAGATGTAGGCTGCATTTTAGGCATGATTTATCGAGTACCTACTATATGCAATACACAGGGCTAGATAGCAGGTAGACATTAAAAAATAAAATAACAAGAGGAACCTCAGGTCCTTGCCCTAAGGGAGTTTACAGTTTTGTGGGAAGAACATTATTTACACAACCAATTTTTCAAGGTAGATTGTAAAAAGTGCTACAATAGAGACTAGAGCACACAGTTATTTTTCTGATATTCCAGGAAAAGTAATTCTCCAGTCTAAACCCATTGTTATAAATAAAATAATTAGTTCTTCAATTTACATTTCTTTGTACCTAGTTTATAGCAGGGAGATATACACATAATCATTATGGTCCTCAAAGAAGGTGCAAGGCCTAATTTGCAATCTAAGTAAATATTTTAAAAACAATTTAGTGAAACAATTCATTTCACAATTCACTATTTCTTTCATCATGGCTACATGATTTATGTTTGGTTATTAATATTTTAAACATTTTTGTTTGTTTTCTTTAAGTACCTTTCCAGATATGCAAGGAAAAAGATCCTTAGCAATATGTGAGGCTTTTTTAAATTGTCATATTTCAAAACATCTATATCTTAAAAAGCAACTGTTTCAAAAACTTCTTTAGTATTTTTCTGCTTTCATCTGCAATTAGTTTATCTTATATATATTTAACTTAGAAATAGATATCAATTATTTAAAGAGGAGTGGCATTCCTGGTCTGTTTCCCAATATCATCAACATTCTCAATCTCTCAT